GAATTACTATATGGGGGATGAATTACTATGGGGGATGAATTACTATATGGGGGATTAATTACTATGGGGGATGAATTACTATGGGGGATGAATTACTATGGGGGATGAATTACTATATGGGGGATGAATTACTATGGGGGATGAATTACTATGGGGGGTGAATTACTATATGGGGGATGAATTACTATGGGGGATGAATTACTATATGGGGGATGAATTACTATGGGGGATGAATTACTATAGGGGGGATGAATTACTATATGGGGGATGAATTACTATATGGGGGATGAATTACTATGGGGGATGAATTACTATATGGGGGATTAATTACTATGGGGGATGAATTACTATATGGGGGATGAATTACTATATGGGGGATGAATTACTATGGGGGATGAATTACTATGGGGGATTAATTACTATGGGGGATGAATTACTATATGGGGGATTAATTACTATGCCTACTATGGGGGAATATTACTATACTTACTATGGATGACACATACACATCATTCATCTACTCTTGGTCCAGCCCCCGGGTCCAATATATGAACCCATTGCGGCCCTCAAGTCAAAAAGTTTGCCCACCCCTGATTTAACCTGTATTGGTGGTTCCAGTAAAATAAAAAAAGATGCCCCTGCATCAGTTGTGTCAATGAAAGAACAAAATGTCCCTGCATTGATGGTATCATTGGAAGGACACACTGTCACTGTCTTTGGATGCACTTTGGCTGTGGTGAAGGTGGCTGGATGCACTTTTGCTGTGGTGATCGCACTTGGATGTACGTGCAAATGGAGCCCTATTCAACCATTATGATCAATTTCTAAAATCCAGCTCATCAAATTGCATCAATACTCAGACACCTGTCATCTCTGAAAAAATAAGGCTCATGGAAGGGGACCTAATATTTTTTTTTCCTAGCAGGTGAAAATTGATGGGCCGTAAATATGTTTAATCTGAAATATATATGCTTATATATAATTATGAAGAAGACAGATGCCTTACATGTATAGCCAATGGCTTTGCCCCATATTCACACTAGAACACAGTTCTGGAAAACCACAATCCCTGTGCGATTTCTGCTCCACGCTCAAAACATAATGTCCTTGCAATATGCTGCGGTTGTCAGTTCAATGTTAGTGACACCCCAAATAATGGTTGCAAAGGTAGTGCATTTGCCTGCAGCGGATCTCATGAAACAAAAGTATGATGCAATTCAGTAGCTGTGCGTTTCTAAAATTAGTGCATGAAATTCATAGGGCAATTCATAGTGTGAACCTTTGTTAGATACCCGCCCCTCCCCCCCATAAAAAATGCCCAAAAGTGTTTGGGCGGAGGACATAAAGCAGAACTTCTCCTTTGAGCTTCATTCACACAAAGGTACTTTGAAGCGCAGGCAGCATCACCATGATTCTTCCCGTGATTTCAAAATGCTCTGCTAACATGGCAAATCGCACAGCGTGATTTTCAGATTCCATTTATTTTAATGGCATGAAGGTTGTGTGATAAATTGTGCTGCAATTGCAGCAAACCGTACTCCATGAAGTTCTCCTTTTTGGGTGACATGCTTCATGCAATGTGGTTTGCCGTGACTGCAGCATGACAATCGCACTGCATTTTTTAAGTGCCATTAACATGAATCGCATCCGAAAATTGTGTTGTGCAATCATGGGCAGAATCGCGGCAATGCTGCCTGCAATTCAAAATACCTATGTGTGAACGGAGCCTTAGAGTGAAGTCCCGCTTTAAATAATCATATTCCTTCTCTCTTTTCAATATTGAATGAATTAATAAATTTTACATTTAAACCCTTAGGGAGTAGAGTATCCATGTTATAAATCCATCTGGTTTCTTTTTGTTAGATACTTGTCAACCTGATTACAGCTCTTCAGTGGAATCTAGCATTTTCTATCCCTCAAAACTGTAAAGAACTCATGTTCTTGTTATGCATGTCTCTATAATATAACAACACACTGTGGTTTTTATACCCAATTTCAATATTATAAATATGTTTCTGAATTACACTTATTCAAAAGTCTTTTCATGTGACCAATGTACTGTAGTACTCACAGACATTGTAGTGGTAGTTTCACATGAAATAAAATCTTGTATATCACTATGTCATGCCTCTCTGAATAGAGCAAAAGGTTCTTTTGTACTCTGCGTACGTTTTTTAGTCTTAAGTCCTTACCCCTACCACAGGCGTCAAACCTTTTATAATACAAAAAGGTCCATTTTCTTTTCAGTAGATCCACCACAATTGTGTTTCATCTTATTGCCAACAATAACGGCTTTTCTGCATACAATATTTGGTGTTTTGGGCACGAGTGGGTCCAATACTTGATCTCTTAGGAAAATATATCAATATTTATTAAATATGGCCTCAGTCTCTCGATATTGATCATTGACACCAGTAATAAAAACTCCATTGGTGGACATCATCCTTATGATCCCACTGTTCCCTAGTTTCAAACATCAGTTCTTTAGGGGTATTAAAAACCTACAGGACAATATTTTCACCTAGATAACCTTTCTTGACAAATCTGTCCTTTAACACTTTTGCTTGGGTTAAGAAATCCCCTGCACTTGCACAATATTTTGTACAAGAAAAGAGGACCCGCATTATTTGACCCTTTGGGATTTTTCTCAGCCAAATAGAATGATGTCCACTGTTAATCGACAGATACTGTAACTATTTCTATATGTTTCTTTGAAAAACACCATCGTGTTAACTTGGGATCCTTGCCTCCGTATGTTAAAGTACATGTGAACCCTCATCTTGTAAAAAAAAAACCCATTCATTTTAAAATAGAAATAAAAGGCAAAACATTATAGACATACAAAAGATTATACCTTTTTTCTTATAAGTGATCACATACCTTTTGTTCTCAGCACACTGATCTTTCCAGTGAATGGCTGTGCATGGAGGTAGTGTCAGGACAAGTCTAATCATTGGAGGAGAGCAGGCTGAGTTCTCAGCACAACTAGAGAAATGACCACTCTGTGCTCTCCTACCTAGTGTGGTCAGTTTTTGATAGGAAAGCAGAGGTACTGGCAGGGACATTAGGTATTTCACACAAAGGAAGCAATACAAAGCAATACAAAGAGAAAAATGGATGCTTTTTATACATGATACAGCAGGCATGTATCAGGAATATGAAATGCTGGGTTTACATATTCTTTAAGGTCTAGAAAATTGATGCTTCCCTACTATAATTATATGATAATTTAACATTCTTGTAATTTCCATTTAACTGAATTAAGAAGGAATACAGAGCAGTCTCTGTTTCCAAATAATGAAGAGGTCATCAATAAATCTTTTGTATAGTAGCAATTCAGATCTCTTATTTCTAAAGACACAAGAGTCCTCAAACTCCATAAAAAGATGTCAGGAATGGGTTCACCTGCTGGTGGCACTGTGGCTCCCAGACAGGGACGGACTGACCACTCGGGCTCTCGGGCACTGCCCGAGGGCCCAGGGTCAGTAGGGGGCCCCATGAGATGCCCCTGGTACCTTTCATAGGCATTTTCATAGACTTTTTTGGGTGTGGTTGGCATGTGCGTGAGGACAAAGGGGCCCCATGATCCCCTATTGCCCGGGGGCCCCATGAGTTGTCAGTCCACCCCTGCTCCCAGACCTGCAGTTTTTAGTTCCAGTGTCCACGAGCAGGTGTCTTCCAGCAGCCAGCAGCTCTTAGTAATTTTTCATCACCTGAGCCTGGTTGCTGGGATGATATTTAGTCCTTCCTGAGCTACTCCCCCCCACCATGGTGTTCTGCCCATGTGCCCCTGATCTATGAACCTTGTTCCTGTACTCTGTTCCTGATCCTGACCCTGTTCCTGATCTTCACCTTCCTGCTTGTTCCTGTTCCCATGTACACTCTCTCTGTCCTGGCTTGCTCCCTGCCACCTATGCCTGATATCCTGGATCTAAAACTGACTACACTTTTCAGCCATATGCTTCTCTCTGTATATAGTTTCTCAGCTGGTTTAGGTAGCTTGTTCATTGTTAGCACTCTTTCTCACTAGTTCACTGGTTTTGGTTTATGGGGTTTCAGCATATTGCAGGTACAGTACATTTATATTATTATCTACTTATTGTATCTTTAATAAATTCCATTATTTTATACTATACTTGCGCCTGGTGTTCTCTGTGTAAGCCCACACATTTTTGGTTCACATCTGTTACATAGGATACTGGCATTTGTTATCTGTGACAAAATGTTTGCAAGGCATTGGGCAAACTTTGATCTCATTGCCACTCCAGACTGCTGAAGGTAATAATTCTCTCTGCACCAAAAAAAACAATTTTTTTGACTTTTTGCTATTAAACATGTCCAGTAAAAAATGCAAAAAATCTAATTTCATCATAAATTAGGCCAAAATGTATTCTGCTACGTCTTTGCTAAAAAAAATCCCAATATTTGTAAATTAATTGGTTTATGTGAAAGTTATAGAAATTTACAAATGGTGGTATATATACTGGCATTTGTTATCTGTGACAAAATGTTTGCAAGGCATTGGGCAAACTTTGATCTCATTGCCACTCCAGACTGCTGAAGGTAATAATTCTCTCTGCACCAAAAAAAACAATTCTTTGGACTTTTTGCTATTAAACATGTCCAGTAAAAAAATGCAAAAAATCTAATTTCGTCATAAATTTAGGCCAAAAATGTATTCTGCTACATGTCTTTGCTAAAAAAAATCCCAATATTTGTAAATTAATTGGTTTATGTGAAAGTTACAGCATTTACAAATGGTGGTATATATACTGGGATTTTTTTTTTTATTTTTACTAGTAATGGTGGTGATCAGCGACTTATAGCAGAACTGCGGGACTGCGGCAGGCATTCTGACACTGGAGGGAACTGACTTGGTGTCATTAACATCCCCAGTAACACAATACAGTGATCAGTGCTAAAAAAAAGCACTGACAGTGTACTAATGGCACTGGGCAGGAAGGGGTTAACACGAGGGGCAATCAAAGGGTTAACTGTGTGCTGTGTGATGTTTTACTATGTGCTGTGTCTGTGTGCTTCACTGTAAGCACATTACTTTGCATGGCTGTGCAGAGCCATCCAAAGCAGTGTGCACGAGCTGACAGGGAGGAGAATTGTTTTGTTTACAAGCAGTTCTCCTCCCCGTCAGAGATGCTCGGCAAACACTGGGTGCCGATGAGTAATCACCGGTCAGGACTGATTGACAGCTGCACGTGCCCACTACCCGGAAATGCAAAATCACTTATATATATCTGATTTTGTGAACCTGTGCTGCCCTGTAGCAGTATTTCTGCTATAGGGTGGTTGGAAAGCTGTTAAACTGGTAAAGAGGTTCAATAAAGACCAAAATAAAACAACAGAAGAAAAAGAATTAACCTCCTGGTTTTTTTCCTGGATCGTCAGGACCATCATCACCATCTTTTGGGTTTTTTTTGGGCTTTCTTGGTTTACCATCTTTGTCATCAGGGCTTTCCTGATTTGGATCTGTAAGTTTAATGGTAATACATAGTTACAAAAAATTCAATACTAAAATAATATACTGCGCACATATTAAATTGCACACAAAACAAAAGGCAAGATGTTAAACAAAGTGAAAACAAATGCGAAAGCTATTTATTGACTTTATTGACTTAATGACTGGTGCAGACAGATTTTGTGTCATTCTATAAGTGGCACAGTGTGGACCAAATTCATGTACCTGCCTTTAACATGAATTTGACACAATGCTTTTACAACCATGACATGTCTGTGGAGAACTGGTGGTTGAAACTTTTTTTTGGGAGGGGGGATTTAGGTTGCTTTTGCATACTTATTGGTGAGAAAAGCGGTACTGATTCAAGCAAATGCCGTCATACACAAGCCCAAAAAATGATCTACAATTGTTTTTAAACCATAGGAATGAAATACCTTTTGGAAGTGAATCTGGATCTTCAGGGTCATCACCATCTTTTACAATGGGCTTTTTGGGTTTTCCATCTTTGTCATCCTGATCTGGTTCTAATAATAATCATTGTATGCTTTAACTTAGCATGATTATTAATTTTCTAAGATGTGCAAATATAATATGTGATACTACTGCATAAATGTAAAATTTCCTTTTCCTTATAATAAAACAGTCAACCATAAAGCTTGCATATGTTATTACCCAATGTATGATAAGAAAAAAATATTCAAAATAAAAGTTTAAAATAATTTATAAACCTTGCTCTAATGTTTCAGAGTAAAAATGCTCTCCTTTCCCTTATAATGTGTCCCCTACACTGTATCTTTAAAAAAATTAAATCAAAATAAACTGAAAAACAAAACAAATTTAAGTTTACATTTGTAAGTTTACAAATGTATGTTTAATCTTTACACCTTTGGGATTTTCGTCTGACCCTTCAGTATCATCTCCTCTTTTCTTAGATGATGGATCTTTGGGTTTATTTGGTTTGTCACCTTTATCATTAGGGTTTCTCTGATTTGGCTCTGCAAATAATTATCTGCACGTTAGTTTTCAGTGAGGTAAACACAGCACTAATAGCAAAAAAAAAAAAAAAAAACATAAAACAAGATAAAGGGAAACTACTGAAGTTTTCATAATTTTGTTTTAGTTTATTTTTTAATGAAATCATTTTTGCTAACTTATTTTTAGTTTTCTTTTGTATTTCGTTTGGAATTTAAACAATACACTCTATTGACTTTTTCTGATTTATCTGATTACAAGAAATACAAATCTTTAAAAAAATGTATGGTTTATATTGAGCAATTATAAACACTAAGCAAAACATTTTTGGAACTGAAGACTGTTACTACATACTGCATACAGCATGTACTGTATATGAATGTGTGCCAGAATTTAATGAGTTATCCATACATATTTTCTGCATAAATGTAAAATATTTTTTTTTCCTATAATACCAGTTAATCACAAAGCTTATAAGAAATCTTACAATTCATTATTCTAGAAGTTGATTAGCTACAGTCAATGTATTGTATTATGTTACCCAATGTACTATAAGAAAAAAATATTCAAAATATACATTTAAAAAATACAACATACACACTTTCCTATATTGTTTCAAGTAAAAATACTTCCCTTATCCTTATAGTGTGCAGTCTTTTGAGCTCACACTGTTTTATCATAATTTATAAAAAAAAAAAAAAAAAAAAAAATTCAACCTTAAAAGCAAAGGTCAGTTTACATTTGTAAGTTTACAAATGTAAGTTTAATCTTCACACCTTTGGGATTTTTGTCTGGCCCTTCAGCATCCTCTCCTCTTTCCTTAGATGTTGGGCCTTTGGGTTCTTTATTACCTTTATCATTAGGGTTTCTCTGACTTGGCTCTGAAATTAATTTTCATTATGTTAGTTTTCAGTGAAGTGAGCACAATGCCAATATTTTTGGCACTCAAAACAAGTTTAAGGGAAAATACAGTTTCCATGTTTTTTTTTAATTTTTTTATTAAATCATTTTTTAATAACTATTTAATAATATATAGTGTGAAATTAAAATAATACGCTTTATTGGCTAAGTTAAAGTGGTTCTAAAGCAGAAGGTTTTTTTACCTTAATGCATTCTATGCGTTAAGGTAAAAAACCTTCTGCAAGCAACTCCTCCCCAACCCCACCTTATACTTACCTAAGCCCAATTTCAAACCAGTGATGTGCACAAGAGCAAAGGCTCTCTTGGCTTTCTCTCCTCATTGACTCAGACATGGCAGCAAGAGCCATTGGCTTCTGGTGCTGTCAATCACAGCCAGTGAAGAGGGAGCAGGAGGCAGGACTGAGCCACGCTCTGTGTGTCTTATGAACAGACAGAGCTGACTCAGGAATGAGCACGCAGGAGTGCCACCAGAGCAATTGGCTTACAATGAAGGCACTCAGCAAGGGAAAGGGACAGGACAGGACCATTGCACAGAGCACATAAGCACAACATGTTTGTTATTTTTATAAATAAAATATAATTAAAAACAAAAAAACTGTGCCTGTGTCACGGACCCAGCTGGGTCAGGGGCTTTTGGAGGGGACTAGGGGCTAGCCTTCTAACCGCTGATTATGGCCCATGGAGGAGACTGGTGATTTTGTCTGCTTCTACCAATCAGATCATGGAAAAGAGCTGAGCTAAAGTCTGTGATGATGGATAATGAATGCTGAGAGTGAGGCTTGGGTTTAATTCTCTGAGTAAATACAATAAAACTTGCATTCTGGAGTGGATGGAAAGGTGTAATAATAATCTAAGACATGTTAATGTTCAGAGGAAACACGGGGCCCTCCTGCAGACTGGGTTGGAGAAGTTCCTCCACTTGGGACAGAAATATTTATCAACAATCTCCCTCAAGACATTTTTGAAGATAGATGAATTCCACTTTTTTAGACTGTTGGAGTTTTGTCTTATGATGATCATACAAGTGAAAGCAAACCCCTGAAAGACAGCATGTGTAATGTACTTTGTGTATTCAAGGTTGGAGGTGCCAGACTGTCTGGGGTGGGCATTGTTACATGTTAGTTGCTAGCTGTTGATTAGCTTACTATTAATTAGATCACTGTTAGCTGTTGGCTATACTGTTTACCATTTGCACTGTTAAGGATAATGTGATCAAGCTCTTACATAATCAGTGGGGATGTTTATCCCAATGTTTAATATTTGTTTTATTGTTCATGAAGGGACTGCCCCTATTTCTGAAGTGTATAAAAACCTGTATTTCTGTTCAATAAAGTAGTTCCAGTTTTGCACCTATGCTAGTGTTGCCTAGTCTTGGGTATGATGCCCAGCTATAATACCTTGGTCCTGTGTGCCAGCAGCAAGGAAGTAGTTCTCTGATGGAATCTCCCAATGGGGGGGGGGGGGGGGGTGACAGACAGTCACAATATATATATTCAATTTCCTTTACATGCACATTAACTTTAATGGCATCCCAGTCTTAGTCCGTAGGGTTAAATGTTGATTTGGACACCCTTTGCAGTTATACAGCTTCAACTCTTCTGGGAAGGCTTTCCACAAGGTTTACGAGTGTGCCTATGGGAATGTTTGAATATTCTTCCAGAAGCACATTCGTGAAATTAGGCACTGATGTTGAACGAGAAGGCCTGGCTCACAGTCTCCGCTCTAGTTCATTCCAGAGGTGTTCTATCGGGTTGAGGTCAGGGCTCTTTGCAGGCCAGTCAAGTTCCTCCACCCCAAACTCGCTCATCTATATCTTTATGGACCTTACTTTGTGCACTGGTCATTTTGGAACAGAAAGGGGCCATCCCCAAACTGTTCTCACAAAGTTGGGAGCATGAAATTGTCCAAAATATCTTGGTATGCTGACGCCTTAAGAGTTCCCTTCACTGGAACTAAGCGGCCAAGCCCAACCTCTGAAAAACAACCCCACACCATAATCCCCCTCCACCAAACTTTACACTTGACACAATACAGTCAGCCAAGTACTGTTCTCCTGGCAACTGCCAAACCCAGACACATCCAGCAGATTGCCAGACAGAGAAGCATGCTTTGTCACTCCAGAGAACAGCGTGCTTTACGCCACTCCATCCAACGCTTTGCATCCCACTTGGTGATGTAAGGCTTGGATGAAGCTGCTTGGCCATGGAAACTCATTCCATGAAGCTCTCTATGCACTGTTGTTGTGCTAATCTGAAGACCACACAAATTTTGGAGGTCTTTAGCTATTGACTCTGCAGACAGTTGGCAACTTCTGTGCACTGTGCGCATGGCTGAGTTGCTGTTGTTCCCAGTTGCTTCCACTTTGTTATAATACCACTAACAGATGATCAAGGAATATTTATTAGCAAGGAAATTTCATAGATGGACTTATTGCACAGGTGGCAACCTTTCACGGTACCACACTTGAATTCACTGAGCTCATGCGAGCGACCAAATCTTTCACAAATGTTTGTAGAAGCAGTCTGCATGCCTTGGTGCTTGATTTTATACACCTGTGGTCTTGGAGGTGATTGGAACACCTGAATCCAATGATTTGAAGGGGTGTACCAATACTTTTGGCAATATAGTGGTTATGTTACAGGGTAAACATGTTCCCCTTATCCTTATAATGTGCCCCATTTTTGAAGTCACACTATATATCTTAATGTATAAAAAAGACTAACTAAAAATAC